CCAGAGTAGTAGGCTACGAGGCCTAAGTCAGAGAATGCCAGGCGATGCCATCCGTGGGATCCAAGAACTGCCAGGCGTTGACAAGGGNTCAGGCATAAATTGTGAGGGAGGTACGGCCTCTGGTTCAAACTCAAGCTCATCCTGTGTTGCCTTTGGCAGGAAGTGAGTCCTGTTAGTCATTGATGTATTCCAAACAACGGACTCTGCGTTCAGGGGCTCCCGCGGACTCCTTAGATTCCAGGGGCTCCCCAGGCCACCCTCTTTTTCTACTTGGTCGCCGCAACTGTTTCTTTCTAGAGAATATTGAAAGAGGTAGAATTTCTTTGCATGTCCGGGGAGACTGCGCCGAAAAAGCAGTTATCCCAAACGACCGGCTTCACCCGATTCGGAAAGTTCGCTCTTTCGCTCACAGTGTTCATTGCCTTTAACCGAACACATTGTGCTATGATTGAGCGAATTGGTGCATGATGAGATTTCCAGCTCTTCGTATATTCGTATTTGTGACTTGTTGTGTTTGCCATGGTTTTTTAGTTTAATTTGTATGTACACAACTAGCCGAAAGTATTTAAAGTGAAACAGTTGCTTTATTCAAAGACAACCTCTTACTTTTATGTGGAAATCAGATATAAGAACTGAACAAAGCTGCATAGAAAAGTAGCGATCGGGAAGGGGCAGGGCAGAGCTCAGGGTGCGTCATTGGGTCAGGACGCGAACAGTATGGCGCTCTGACCCAGTGGTACACCCAAGAAGCTCATGTTCAGTGCCCTTCGGTAGTGAATCGTGTCCAATGCTTGAATTGAAAAACCAGAGTAAGGCTCTTTCTGAGATTTCATGGCGGCATAAAGTCGTCAGATCTTTGATTCTAATCTTATGCAGGGTGCTTGGTTCTAATAACTTCCTTGTTCAAGTTGTTCTGATGTGAACTCTCCTGGTAGATTTCTATTTTTTCTTCTATCTCGACCACATATACAGATATTATTTATACTGATATTGTGTTCTCGCTAATCGTTCCATAAATATTTTGAGAAATTCGTTTATCATTTTTTATCATTCATTGATCGGCCTCCCTGATGCAACTTGTTATTTCTTCATCATAGTCAGATGTGTGTCAGATCATGGCTATAGAAGTAATAAGTTGACTCAGATGAGGTTTTTCTACCCGACTAGCGCGCTGCAGCTTCCGCTGTTGTGAAGGGGAAGATCGGGATTCCTCCGTACCTGGGAATTCGGGTATAAAAACCAATACGCAGCCAACTGTGCACAGCAGAAATGATGTCCAAATTCTGAAACCACCTTTATGTGACCAGTTTAGCTAGAAGTTTTGCATTCGTATGACTGGGAGTGCCTGGAAGAGGCATGTGGGAGCTGCTACTAACAAATAGACCTCCTTCTGTTTGATATAGTATGGCCAAACGTCTGGGGCATACTCCTATCTGAGAGCCTGGCTCGTGGAGACTCATATGTCGAAACAAAAATATAAATGGGACTCATTCATCCGAGTTGAACTTAGGGTGTCATCCAATGATGGATGGGGCTGCGTAGGAGAAGGTCCTACAATCTTTGAGGAATAGCAGGATGACCAAGCGTTGGATGTGGCCTCGTGAATGCCCCCTCAACCTGTTTCAAGATGTACACACCAGGTGACCGACTTCCATCAGAGACGCACTGATGGATTCCCCTTGGGCCAACGGCCGTATCAGTCACGAACTCCAACGAGTCATATCGATGATGGGTATACCGAAGTTAGCCATTCCATATGTACGATCAAGAAGGCTTCGCAGTTTTCAAGATCGCACAACTCCCGCTGTACTACTCAGCGGTAGGAAGTGTTGACAACGTATGCTGATATAATTCAGCTCCACGGGTGTAGTAAATTCTCCCGACAATGCTTGAGGCTTGCCGCACCCGATCGCGCCTAGTCGCGCGTCATGAAGTTTTGGAATCCCAGGAAGGATACGGTAGCCGCCGCAGGACCACTCGCGCTTGCCGTGGGAATTATTAAGGAGTACCGCTACTCAGGAAATCCAGAGTAGTAGGCTACGAGGCCTAAGTCAGAGAATGCGGTTCATTTTCATAGTTGGGTGCTGCTGAGAATGCCACTGTCGATGTTGCCCACGCCATTGTTTTTACTAAGTACGTGCCAAACTAGGGATCCGTGGGATCCAAGAACTGCCAGGCGTTGACAAGGGAATCGTGAATTTGACGCTCAACATAAATGTCGGTACAATTTGTGGGCGGGACCGTCGTTAAGAGGGACCTGTAAATCAGTTGGACCATTTTGTACACACAGAAAAACACAGTTTCTAGCAGCCTTTTATTGTGCGAGAATCGTACAAATTTGTGAGTAGGAAGCTGCCAGGTGACATCGAAAAGTTACTCGACTGCCGTCGAAATCTGTAACAGACAACAAGATTGACAGCATGAAATTTGCATTGACGGAATGGGACTTGATATTTCGATAATGCTGGGTATAGACGGAGATGTTTCCTGACAGGAAGTGAGTAGAGGGTTCACACCAATCAGAATCGACCGCAGACGGGATTGGTCAATCGAGATGGTAGTGAACGCCAAAGTCGACGACAGAAGTATGCATACTGACTAGAACAGTTGGCAACGAGAATGAGGGTACCTGCAAAAATTCGAAGTTATTCTTTCTCTGATGTCTGTAAAAGAATAGGATTTTGTCTGAACCCAACCTACTAGGGGACAGTAATTCTTCAAACAGCCTTCGCAAACGTTAGCCACATGCTTTTGACCTGGAACTCGTGTTAGAAGTCAGAAGTAACAGTGATGTTGCAGCATGAGGCACTTACTGAACCGGCTTACTATCGGTGTGGAAAGCTGGTGGTGGTGTTCAGGAGGGCAGACACCGGGGCAGCACGCTTCCGTCTGAGAAACCCTCTCCTTACTCATGTTGATGGCGTTACGTAAGCAAATGATATTGATATCGGAATCACAGAATCACAGTGTAACGAAGTCATTCCAAACTGTGTAGAAAAAGAGGTTGGTCAAAGAAGGTTGCTGGAAATGCGTTTTCAGTGTTGGTTTCCCAAATGAATACATTGAAAGCCTTTGTTTTAGTCAAACCAGGTGTATGCTGGTACAACCTTTGAAGATCTATGATATAAGGGCCTCTTCTTGAGGGCACTACGGGCGTCCGAGGGCGGCAAATCGCGCGGCGGAGTTCGTGACGATTTGAACAATTTGGCGCCAATTTTTGGGGCACAAGCTCGAAGTAGAGTAGTTTAGTAGGGTCAGATGATCCTTCCAATCTACTCTACTTCAAATTTGGGCCCCAATGATAGGCGCTAAACTCGTTCAAATTGTTACAAATTTCGCCGCACAATTTGCCGCGCGCATCCCCGGACATAATGCCACATACCCTGTTCATCCTCATCGAGACTGCACTGGACATTTCATTACCAGACGTAACATTGAACTCCTCTGAAAGTGTAGACAGGTGCCAGTAAAACACCCTCGAAGCTATGAAAGTGCTCACTCCAGTAAGATTTCATAAAGTATTAGATCTTGAGAGCAAGCGGGCAGTGAGCCCACCCTAGAGTTTGAAACCCTTCTTCGCTCCTGTTGAATCCCACGGCGTCATAGTTTCCCAATAGTCATTGAACTCAGGGACATAGCCGCCCTCCGGAATATGAAGAAGGAACACTAGAGGGGTTCACAGAATGGATTGTAGGCCCCTTTTATCAGAAAACTGACACAAAACATCTATCATACTCCTTACCCATCACTTCATCCGCTGCAACCCATTTTTTCCCTATTCTGTTTGTGGTTGTTTGTTAAAAACAAAGAAGCAATTTTGTATTGTTGTGAGTGTTCTAGAGCATACTTACGGTTGGAGAAACGTAATAACAAATTTCCGGTCAAACAGTTCCATAGATAGGTAAACACACAGCAGTGGAAAACAAGCTTTACGACATACCGTTAGCTCTAATGTTTTTACTGCTTTGTGATTTTTATAATTCTTCAGAATCTCACTCCACTCCACATCACTCACTTCACTACGCAGTACTCACTCTACTAGATTAACCAACCCACCAAGTTACTGCCCTATGTATAAGAAGGAAATGNAGGAAAGGTGAGAGCTAGGCTTTCCATATCACTGCCTTTATCGTAATCATAAAGTTTGCGGACGGACACACCGACAGACATACCGACAAACCGACACACCAAGTTTCTGCTTTGTAATAAGAGAGACTTCAGAATATCACCGACTCTTATCACATACGGATTCGTTATACCTCTACCCTGGGCGTATAGGGATTCAAAAGAAAGCACCTCAGAGGAGGGTGGAGTAGGAAGAAGGAAGTCGAGCTAATCCAATTCCATCTATAACTGTTTAAAAGTCAATACGTCGAAGGAAAATCAGTACTCACATTGGAGGCTTTCATTCATGAAAACATACATATGCCTAAATTTATGGGACAGAGAATGAACTTATGCAAGTCACTGGTCTCTGTAAAAGAAAACTTGGGTCGTCTTCATCTGGATTTTCCGTGGCCTATTTAACAAAAGTAGATAATACTCATCAAACAAATCATTAGCTTAAACGAAAAACACCTGTCAAGAATTTCGCATCGGTCTGAAATTCTCCTGGAATTTCCTTGAGGCTGGCATAAAAGTACTGTAAGAGGACACGATTCACTCGTATGAGCATAACAGATGGAGTTTTATGATATTTCAGGGGCCCAACCACATCAAAGTTCCTCTTCGGGTCCCTTGATTCTGGCTGTCAAGCGTTGGAATGAGGTGTGCACTTACCCGCGTCACAGAAGGGACTTCAAGATTTAGTGCTATATACAGGTACAGGAGGGGTTTTAGCGGCGGAGTTGCCGGGCCCGAACTCGTCAGATGTGGGTAGATGATTCGGTCATTGTATGGCTAGATAAGCAAGGATGAGATGACCAGGTGTGTTATGCGGATGCCTGCGGGACGTGACCTTACATAAAATCTCCCGCACTGCAGAATTTTCGACTAACACTTTTCGCGCAATCTATTCAGGGTTCAGGGTAAAGCTTGGACCTCATCATTCTCATAGGATCGATGAGTATCAAAGCTTCATTCCTTTAGAGCTGATCTGATA